TATGACAGGTAAATCAATGACAGCGTCAAGATCGGGAAAGGATACCAAGAAACTGCCCATAAACCAATATTGACACCATATATTATCTGGAGCCTGCTGATAATTACACAATTTAAGCTGGACAGTCGAAAAGTAATAATCCTTAATAGTTTCTCATATAAGTGCTTCAAGTGGCAGATATACCAACAGATCGTTCGGTGTTAAACAGGATCAAATCATGCATAAAGATAATAAAAACTATCACCAAGTAATATCCCTTCTTTTTGTCGCTGTCTGTTAGCTTTTGTATTTATCTTTTCACAGCATTTTGTAAAAGCTCATGAAAAAAACGATTTAGCTTCTTACATCTAAAAGCACTATATTATTTACTCGTTCATGGTATACTACTGGATTTGTATCTCCTTTAAAATCACTCTCAGAACACTTTTTTTTTCTTCTTTCTTTTATGAACAATAGTTAGCTTATGCTGATTAATTGAAGTCTGGTACTCACTATCACATTTGTAAATTAATAACAACTGTCGCTTTTCTACATCTAAATCCGTACTAGCGCCATATCCCTACCATAAAGAAAATTTAACGCAGGGAAAAACTGCATCTTTTCCAAGCCTATGGTTACAAGCTATAACAACGAAGAAATATCCAAGCGGTGACATGAGTGTATCTTCAGTAGACATTGCTGAAAAATCTGGCTACAGACAAAAGAGATCAATCGCTTTTTAAAGGGCATTGGCCATGATTGACCGGTAGTTAGGCCAATGCTTCCTAAATCAGGTAGTGCGTGTGGTGATCTGCTATATTGTTGCTACATTAAATAAACCTATATCTATGACATCAATACATTAAGAATGATTAAGGAATCAATTACCCAATATAGATAGTTAGTACTATCATATCACAAGGTTACAAGAACACAGTGACAAAGGCTTACTAAAGATATGGAAGTACAATGTGTCTAAGATGACAGTAATTCCAAGTGTAACATATTTACAAAATAAGCAGTTAAAGGTAACAGGATACACACTGGGAAAATGATAACAACTTCAAAGATACACTAAAGATAGTGGTACAGCAGATAGTCTTTTTTATATAAATACTTGTTCATTTTATTTCATAATAAAGACAATCTTATAAACAGTCTCAAATTATTCATAAACTGCCTTATAATTTTTACTTACCTCAAAACACAACAGTGCGATATGTACACATTTGGATCATACGAGACTTTGATGATCTCTTGCTTTATCATTAGGAGTTGATTTTACATCACCGTCACCATGGTTTTAATGGATGCGGTTGATACGCTGAAGTTGACCTTCCCGGACGTAATTTTCTCTTTCATCATTCAAGCCAAATTATCCATCCCTTTTATTTTATATCGTCCCTGTTAATGCATTCATCCATCCATGCATGAAAAAAAAATAAAAAAATAAAAAAAATAAAAAAAATAAAAATTGAGCTGAGCTGGATGGATCGATGGATCGAACGCTCTACCATCTTTAAATGCTACCAACAAAATCATTTTTTTAAATATACATATTAAAAAAGCTCACTGCTTTTGGCACCGTCGCTACCGGAAAATACCATCACTGAATCCTTATAAATAATGTTACATCGCGCCCTTTTTTTCTCTCCCTTTGGCAGCTTGTACCACAGTAGTAGTAGATAAGGAGAGTTATCTACTATCGGTTTGGCAGTGCGACTCAGTCTCACGACACACGGCTATTTTGATTCTCAGGTGAAATAATTTTTTTTTTAAACATAAAAAAATCTTATGGGTTATTTTCAATAACAAAATGCATTTAATACTTCCTCCTTCACCAGTAAATTATACACCATATTATTCTGTTGGATAAAAAAAAGATTGAGTACATTCAGGTGATGTAATGAGAAAACTTTCACAATAACGGATGGTGCATCAGCACTGCCAATGTAGGGATATTCAATTTCAATAGCCAATAGGAAGTGAGATGTAAATATTCATACTTGAACAACGAATATTGATATGCCCGAGTGTCATTATGTTTGTCTTTTTTTATAAAAATGCACAGGGAGGTTAAGGGAACGTTTGTTTAGTTGGAGGTTTTTCAAAACCGTCAAAAGTTCTCTATTAATCTTGCATGGAAGCTGTTCTTTTTTTTTTTTTCTTTTTTTTTCTTTTTTTAAAAAACCGAAAACATTTTTCTTCGCTTTTTTACTTTCTTATCACTCATCACCCTAATAATACCATCCTTGTTGAGACATTACATGAAGACATGTATACATATAAAAGGTGTATTACATTCCTGCGATCGGATGACAAGATAAAAAGACGAAAAAATTATCAACAATCTACAGCATACTACATCTACCAGCAGATGCCTGTTTGTCAGAATCAAACACATAGCAGCACTATTTGGGCGTTTGTGTTGGTGACATCATCTTGACCACTGGGCTCGACGTGTGACGGGTCGAAGCACCATGTTGGCTCATTACCTCCATCATGGCCAAGAATTGCTTCTGTCCATTTCAAGGCTTGTGCGAAAAATAAAAAACAACGGAGCCAACAAACTATTATTGATTCGTCACCTTTCGTAAACTATTAAAAGAGGAGTGAGTTGGCTATTTACGTTCTACTATCGCATGATACTAACTTCTGATATAGACTGTAGAACATGACATACTGGTTTCCACGCGACACTTTTTTTGTATACCATCTGTAAATTTGAGTCATGTATACAGCTGATCCCTTCCACATGCGTGCAGTCTTTGTAATCGTATAATTGTCTAGTGTGAACAGTAGATCAGAAAGCGGGTGTCGGTAGTATTTGTCTAAAGCCTTCATGATCACCTCTTATTCAACACCTTCCATCAACAAATTCACAATAACTCGACTGGTCAAAAAAGCTCCCACAATTGACTTCCCTCAGTATCGTTTGGGCTATCAACAAAGCTTGATTCACCATCATACGGTCTTGTTGCGATTAAATTTAAGATGTACTCATCTATAACTCTCCCAACACAAGCCGGAAGTGCAATTTTTTCGATGATATTACTAGAGTTTTTTTCACTTTGTCTATTAGATCTGATCAGTTTGGAATATTTTCTTATAGTACGCTCCATGGTTCTTGTAGAGTAAGCACATAGAGGACCTTGTTTTCTGATAATGAGCGGAATATGGATTAAATAGTCTTGAACTGGTCGAAATACGGCACGCGATAAGGTTTTTATGACCCATCTGTTCAACAAGAAATTCATGCAAGTCTTGAAATCATTTGTAGAAGGTTGAATAAAGGGGGTGAGTAACAAAGTATTATGGCAAGCATCCTTATTTCGTTTTACTTACGTTTCCATTCTGGTCAGAGTTTGTTGTTGAACCTCCCATTTTAATGCAAGACCACACCCTTTTATCAGCGAAATGATTGCATTTTGGAGCTCTGGGTTGGAAGGTGTACGATGATTAATGTTGGAACAACATACAAAAGAAAGTCAAGTCAATCTACGGCACGAGTTCCATCTGTTCTTGCTATCAAGCTATCGAAACTACTCTGGAACAATGCTAGTATGTATCTTCTTGATTGCTTAATGGCTTTGCCTATTTCTATCAACTTGGGCTTGGGGATGAAAAAAGGGTAGCCGGTTTTATTCTGGATCCGATTGACAATTGAACAAAAAAGCATCATTTTTGGAAATATCCACCATGATGAAATCGTACACAAGCTTACCAATACCTCTAGTTATCAAATGTAACTATTCCAATGCAAAAAACCTATGAACCCGAAAACGAAAGAAATCCATTGAAGATGCTTGACTGATATATGTTCGTAGCCTTGACATTTAAATAAATGTAATTACAACCATAGTAGTTAACTAATTAATTTTAGCTTACAGGATTGCTTTGCTTGAAATCGGATGAAGGTCTTAAAGATGCGAAACTATCGTCCAAGGTCATCCCCCTCATGTCGATTCTCTGTTGCTGTCCTTTAGTTCCACAAAATCTGCAGCCGACCGGTATTGTGTGAGATCCCACATGTGCCATATCGGCCATCAACAGGAATGTCGCCGGAAGCCAATACTAGATGTACCTTTCCTCGTTTTGTTTGATTATCATCCGATGAACCAAGACGTCCTTCAATTCCATAATAATAGGCATCAAAAACAAATCCAAATCCTTTCGTTTTTTTGGACCTGGCAATATAGCTAGTTGTAGCAAGTATGCATCCGAATTTTTAACAAGGAGTAATATTAATTTATATTATTATTTTACAGGAAAGGCATAAATGACTAATATAAGGGTAGAAGTTGAAGGTAATTTCGTGGATAATAGCTTGAATTGTCATCTGTTTGGTGCGGTTAGTGAAACCATCAGTATAGAAAGCGATAGGAACATCATCTGGATTGGAGAACTCATTGAATTGACAAATTCCTTGTAATATTGACCGTCGAAAAAATCACGAATTTCAACTTGACTTGTTTCCCAGTTCACTCTATACTGCATAAGATCCCTCGTTTTTTGTTTCTGCAAGCAGTTTGTGCAAGCATATAACCGACGGACATGATGATGGTGGTTATTGCAGGTGCCGGATTATTCTGATTCTTGTTTCTGAATTCATTGCAATGCGGGCAAGTATGCTCATCACCGTCAATCACAAAAAGCTTGCATCCGTATTTACAAGTTTCGTACTCATAACCTCGAATACTCAACTTGGACTTGCCTAATGCATTGATAACATCAGCGTGCGATACTTTGGCACATGGCTCTGTTTCGTTTTTAATAGTATGCTTAGATGACAGGAATTGTCACAATAATGATGTATGTATACCTTCCATTATTTGATCGTGGTCTCTAATAACCGTATTAATCAATCTTACCAGCTCTTTGTTTCCCGCTTGAGAAATTTCGTTCTCGTCAAAGCTGGATACTAAAAAAAATCTGCTTTGATAACGCTATTCTTACTTATACCCCCATTATTGTAAACATGAACAAGACCCTCGGTTTCTTCACATCTACATTCAGTCAAATAGGGACTTTTTTCATCTAAATCTCTTTGGTCCTTGCGGAATGTCACAGGTTACCCCACAAATCGAAGTAAGCGTTTTGTCATATACTATGCATTTTTACAAAGCTTACCTGCTGGTGTTTCTTGATGCATAGGAGAAGCACTAACTGCGTCCATAAGAGAGTACGCCAATGGATCATTGTTGTTCATAGGTAATGCACCTTCGACATCCTCATTTGTGTCAGCAGGATCATTAACAGAATGGATTCTGCGGTGATTTCCCAAATGTTGATAAGAATTGAATTCTCTGTTGCAGGTAGGACATGGATGTATACTAGTTGTCAATTTAATCCTTTTACGAGTGGGAACAGAAGAGCTGGAAGCGGGATTCGAGATTATGTAGAAAATATCGAATGATGTTAAGCAAAGGAAAAAGGATTTATTGACAGATGATGCATTCAACCCTTATTTAGGTAAGTAATATTTTGGGGCAATAAAAATCTCTACGTCATGAAGAAAGAAATTTGAACTGTAACGATTATGCTAAAATAAATAAATAAAAACCTTTTATTCCAACACTTCTAACAACAACCCATGTCTGAAATAAACAACCATCATCTTTTACAAATGACTAAAACTTGAGATTCTTTAGTTGAATCTTTCAAGAATATTGAAAAGTGCAATCAAATTCAAAGACGAATTAAAGCGAAATGTTTTGGACCAGTTTGGTCCTGTAAAAGACACAGTTCAACTAATGGCAATTGGTGATCTTCGGTAGCAAGGTTTTTTTCTATACATATATAACTCTATAAGAACAATACCTTTATTTCTAATACAACAATCAAGCTTATGACTCAGTTGAGCAATCTCTTCAGAGAAAGAGATACGTGGAGAAACATGATTACTTGGGTCCGAAAATGTATGGTACCAATACCGTGCCAAGCAAGGTCAATGGCAGGCGTACTGGCTTCAAGCAGAAAATATTCACTCTGTTCCAGCTACTAAACACTAAAGATAACATTGGCGAGACAGATAGTTTTGCCCTCCTCCCCACTGGAACAATGGATTCAATGCTGATCGCGCTCAATCAATTGACTAGAGATGTTAAAGGGATGATCTCGGTTGATCTTCGAGAAAGACAACTTTAGAAGGATATTGATACCAATTGTAGTCGAAACATTTTATCTTATAAAGCAGGAAGAACTTAAACATAATGAAAAGATCTACATTTGTTTATGCAAAATATTTCTGGTGTACCTGGTAGGACATTCAAAGCCTCAAAACATACAGATGCAAGAGAGGTAGGTTTAAAACGATATATTTTCGCTCTTAATGTATTTAAATAAAGTTTTTTTCTAGACTACCCAAGTTGATGGTAGTGAGTTGGACGGAGAAGAACAGAACCCCAGTGAAAATAATGAAGATTTCGAAGCTGGATCATATTTGCCACTGTTAGCAAGACTACATTTTTATCTTCTTTCTTTTTGTCAGAGTAATTACATTTCGATAAAAAAACAAACTCGTTGAAAATCTCGTAGCTAACTAAAGATCCTGATGATAATGCTAATGTAGTCATTCGACCCATGCATGAATGACTATTCCTGAAATTTAAGATCTTTCAATTGTATGTCTTTTACTTGTTGATGGCAAGTCTTAATTTGTAAACATTCTCTCTTGTGGAAACTCTTAAATCATCTGTTGCTTTACTTTGTTTATCTATACAGACAATCTTCCAACCTTACTTTTGTTTGCCTTCTGTAAAAAGCATAATTGAAGCCAGTCTGTATCGGAAAGTTGTCTCATCACTCCTATATGTTTTTGATGATCACTACGTTTTCGAAGCGATTGTGGGTTAAGGCATATTGAAAAAAACATTTATCAATTTGTCAACATAATAAGTGTTGACTGGCGCTGCCACTATCTATAGTAATATTTTAAATATATAAATGCAACCCCGTCGTTATTTGTATCATTTTTTAAATAAATAAATGTTGGATCATCATTACATGTAGCAGTTTTTAGAAAACAATCCAAACTACATCAAACAGAGTTATATAGCTGTTAAAGGTTACTTCTATATTAGATTATGATATCAATTATTATACATACCATTTTATAGGTTAATTGTCAAAAAGAAATCAGAAGAAAAAAAGAGGAAAAAAAATCAGGTTTACGTACAAGAACGGTACACGCAACATAAAGTGCTCGTGCAGTGCGTTTGATAGGTACTTTCAATAACCCTTGGACTATTTCTTTGTTTTTTTATAATTTTTCTCTTTAAAAGATGGAAACTAGAAAGAAAATACTAAGAAGGAGGGTGATTTTAGAACAAAATGTTGCAACTGTTTATTGAGTGGCAAACATTTGGACTTAAAGCCCTTGGCCTTTAGTACTAGAAACAATTTATTTGCAATATAAGTATGCTAATAAAACCGTGAATACTTTTTCATAGAGACATTTAAAAAGTGCAAAAGTTTTGAAAGTTATTCGTCCGTTAAAACCAGCGAAGAAGTGAAGTTTATTGCCGTTGAAAAAAAAAAGTATAAGTCAATTCAAAGCACGATGCAAAAAAGCCTAACCGTGTAATACCAAACGTTGTATGAACAAGATACACTTTTTGACCACCTGTTACGTTCAGCGTATTAACTTAAGAAATTTTCATTTAATCATACCAATTATATAGGTATCGTAATATATGTTTATTAAACTACAAAACTCGATTTTGAAGTGGTTATTTATTTCTTTAACAAGTATACGGCCCATAATATTAAGCATTAAATAGCTACCTTCCGAAAAAACAGTCAAAAAAACTACGCGGTAAAAACAAATCGTGCGCAGGAAAAATCTTGAAGTAACAATTGAATATAAAAAGGACCTTTATTTTTATCATGACAAACTCTCCAACTTATAATAAAGGATTATAGAGTCTCATTTGTTTACTTGCTTTATTTTCCAATTTACATTTCCCTTTTTATTCTCAATTATCACATTTTTTTAAATGAATTCTCTTAACCTCAACAACTCTGTTGCTTCTGTTGCTTCTGGTTCTGACTCTACTGGTGATTATCCTAACAACTCTGGTTCTGCTGGTAACTCTGCTGGTGCTCAATCCAACCCTGGTTCCCCTGATGTTGTTCCTGCTACTGGTACGTCTGCCGACCCTGCTGCTGCTGTCAATCTTCCTCAGTCCTCTTTTCAATCGGAGCCTATGGAAATTGATCATTCCGATAAAGTCGAACAATCAAGTTCTTCTTCATCTTTCAATCCTCTTGCAACCACTGATCCAGTCGTTACTCATGTAACTTCTGTACCTATCTCAACCCCTGCTCGTAACACGTTCGATGAGGACGCCGACCAAGTGTTGCCTAGAATCAGTGAGTGTAAGAAACGCATTCATGATCTTTACGAACAGGAAGCTATCGTTATGCGTACCAGCACTAGTACCATTCCTGAATTTCAACTTCATCAGCATAAGATCAATGCTATCGCTCAATATTTGGAATATTACCGTAACGCTCTTGTTTCTGCTAATACCCTCTTCGCTTCCTTCAAAGATACGTCTGTCAGCTTGTTGTCCAATCAGACTCAAGTCCTGTCTTTGAATGAAACCTGTCTGAAACTTCCAAGGAAAAAGACCACTCCGATATTCCCGCCAAGGAAATCCCAGTTTTCGATGTCAAGTTTCTCGATCTAGTTACCAACCCGGACATCCATGCCACTGAAGATGACTCCCTTCAAACGTTCAAGCGCAAATTTGAATGTACTTATCTCAACTATGGTGTTGATGTTGAGCGTCACTGGTTCTTTCATCTTGAAGCTAGCTTTGAAAACAACAATTCTTACAATTCATGGTTCTGAACTGTTCCCTCTCGAAGACGACAACGAATTCCTTGCTGCTTATAATAGTTTATATTCGTTCATTATCCATGATAACGATGAACTAGAATTAAATAATAACAGTACTTTTTTTAATAAAAATATTTTTCCATAAAAATTAATTCTGATTCTTCTACTTGTCTGAATAATTTCTCTTTAAAAAGTAATACAGTCGGTGACACAAATAACCCCTTTGACTTTAACAACGTGGCTTATTCTCCGGTTACTCCAATTATTATTAATTCAGTGAAATCTTACTGTACTATCGATACAGGAGCCCAGATTTCTGTCATGAACAAGCAATTTGCCGTTGATAATAATATTGAATTTGAGCAAACAGAAGGAACTTTATTGTTCGCTAATGGTACCAAAATTCAACGTCAACGCACTACTCATTTCTTATCACTTGACTACAATGGTGTTGAAAAACAAGTGCTGCACAAATTTGACATCGTCGACAATAAGTACTTATCATCATCCAACCAAATACTCATTGGTGTGGATCTGTTACCTAAACTTAACATTCACCTTCTCAATGTTGCTCACAAGTTCAAAGACACTACTAAACAAGTCGATGACTCAATTGATGATCAAGCTTACGTCCCTAACGTAACTCCTTTCGGAACAGAAAAAGAACAGCATGCTTTAATTTAGCTCTTACGCCATACATGGGGCTAATAAAGCGCTTAATAAAAACTCTTTTTGTAACATTCCCGAAAGTGTCCTTCATCTCCCCACTCCTCCTGACTATCATGTCCATGTTCGTCAATATCCAATTGCCTTACAAATTACAACCAAAAATAATGGAAGTACTCAGAGATTGGGTAGCGGATGGAATTATCACAAGAGCCCCTGCTTCTGCATGGAACCTTCCAATTACGGTAACTCTGAAGAAAAATCATGAATCTGGTGTAACATCTTCCAAAGATACTATTACCAAGGATGATATTCGAGTCGTACTGGATACAAGGTTATTGAACAAAGCTCTTCCCACAATTAATGAAACACAACCATTAATCAATGACATCTTCTTCACTTCAATGGAAGGTTGTGTTGTATTCTCTACCATCGATCTTAAATCTGCATTTTCCCAATTCCTTGTTAATCCAGATGATCCAATAAAAACAAGTTTCACTGGTCCTGACAATTTGAAATATATGCATGTAGGATCACCCTTCGGTGTATCAACCATTAGTCAATTGTTCAGTCGAGTAGTGTTATCTTTATTTAAGGATCTTTCATATGTGCGTTCATTCATCGATGATATTTGTATCATGTCCCGTTCTCTTGACGCTCATTTCCAACATGTTAAGCACGTCTGATCTATCTTGACTACAGCTAACTTACGTATCAATTTTAAGAAATCACACTTTGCTAAATCTGAAGTTTACCTTTTAGGCTTCTCGATATCTGCTAAAGGTCGAAGAATTGATACCCGTAAGCTCTCCAATTTAGAATCATTACCACGTCTGTTACGTCAAAACAGTGTCAATCCTTCTTAGGCTTTGTTAACTATTTTCGACAACACATTCCAAATGCAGCTATGCTAATGGCACCAATTGATTTCCTCCGCTCACACGATGAAAAGAATAAAGGAAAGAAATTTGAATGGTCTTCCATTCACGACATGCATTTTAATACTCTTAAGCAAATCCTCGTTTCTGATGTTGTACTAAGCCATCCAAATCTTGATCATCCCTTCTGTATTGCAACAGATGCATCTGATTTTGCGATCGGTTGTTCCTTATTCCAAGAATAACTACAACAGCTGACGGCGATCCAAAGACTATTATCAAGCACATCGGGTTCTTCTCACGAAATTATCTTCTAGTGAGGTTAGATATAGTTGTACCATGCGAGAAATGCTTGCCTGTGTTTTTGCGTTAAAACAATTTCACAAGTTCGTTTGGGGTACTCACTTTACTCTGTATAGTGACCATAAAGCACTTTCTTATCTTCATACTCAAAAACATTCCAATTCTATGATGATCAAATGGCTAGACATAATATTAGATTATGACTTCAAAGTCGTCTATATTAAAGGTGTAGATAATATCTTACCTGATGCTTTATCCCGTTTGTATCCTCCAGCTGTAGACCCTATTACAGATCATAGTAGACCATTACATATTACTTCACCTGGTAATAATCGTGCAATCTCTAGTCGTATCAACTTAAAAAAGACAGAGTTGAGTGTGCGAACAGTACAAATTCACGAGTCTTTTACCAGAAATATTCAGAATCGTCTGCCGTCATTCCGTCAGAATGAACTTTACAAACGCGATCGTCAAGATTCTACTGTAAGTGCAGATGTCGTTCATGTCAATGCTGTTTCTGTATGCGACAATAAGTCCCTAGATTCTTCTCATAATCTATTCTACATTCAAAGTGGGCAAAGCATACACGCTGATTATTTAGTTGCTCCAGAATCTGAGAGAAAATCACTTCTTGAAGATGCTCATAATAAAGTCGGTCATTATGGCGCTGAACAAATGGTTAAACGTCTTCATCAAGAAGGTATTCACTGGCCTAAGCTGATTAATGATTGTATTGAGTTCATACGTAAATGCACTGAGTGTCAGAAACACAACATTCAGAAGAGAGGTTACCACCCCCTTCGTCCTATTTATAGTTATCTCCCGGGTGACCACTATGCTGTCGACCTGGGCGGACCTATAAATACTACATCGGTACGCGGAAATAATTATTTTCTTGTTATTGTTTGCGTTGCCACACGATTTTGCGTTTTACGACCACTTCAAGACAAACGTAGCGACACTGTCCTTACTGCCCTTGTCGAAGTGTTCTCTTTCTTGGCTTTCCTTGTGGAGGTGTGCTTCAAAGTGATAATAGGTGCGATTACGCCACTCTTTAGCTGCTGACCTTGCCACAGCCATGGGATTCGCCTATCGGTTCATTACTCCGATGCATGCAAGTGCCAACGGTATTAGCGAAAGATTTCTACAGTCTGTAAAGCGATTACTTGCCAAAGCCACCCAAGGTGTAGGTAATGATTGAGACTTACATCTCAACGCTGTTCAATTAGCTCTCAATAACCGCATCTCTAAGAAGTTGAATTCCACTCCTTTTTCATTGATGTTCCCCCGTAAAATGGCTGAGCCTTTTGGATTCCGTAAATTGATAGCTCTGTACCACCTGAGCAGCGCAAGCCATTTCTCACGAAGAATTGATGAAGCGTATTGATTATATGGCCGACATTGTTTTCCCAGCTATTCATGCAAAAACAATGGCACAACTTGATCTCGAAAAAGCCAAGTTTGACAATAAACATCTTGTTGTTGAT